TTAAGCTCCCTGAAACCACCCTCATAACTCTGTTCAGAGAAACGCTCGGCAAATTTGGAGAGCAGATTTGAACTCAGCATCCAAAAATACGTTTAGCAGTGTAGGTCTCATTTCAAATGGCCACTTCGACTTGAGATCCTTCCCTGGTAAGAGAGCGCCGAGAGGGCACGCAGGCTTTTCACTTCTCCGATGATACTGTCATAATAGCTAGGATTCCTAAAAGAGAGCGATGTTGTGATATGCCCTTTGGAGCGGCCAACCTGATGATGGCTTCAATTTCCTTCGGTTCATCGAATCGTTCATGCTTGTTGATGATGTATCCGAGTTGATGGATCAGATAATTTACAAACAAATAATCTGCAAATCAGAGAATTCACAAATTTCAGTGCGCACATTCCGTTTTGCAGCAATTTTTCTATAAGCGTGGAGGTTTCTCCTGTGCTCTTGTTCTGGCCTCCCACAACGATGGCGTCATTCAGCTTTAGATAAGCTGCAACACTTCGTAGGCCGGCGAAAGACGTATCTATAATTCAAACTAAGGTAGTGGATACCGATGGGGGTTTAGGGCATTTTTTAGGCAAGTAAAAAATTGGTGCAGATTTCCAGTGATCCATTCGACTTCCGCACACTAACTATAGGTGCGGCTCAATTCGAATGATCGACCTTTGAAATGACTCCACTTGCTCTGAGTCAATTGAACCCCTTTTCATGGCAGGAAGGACTGCGTATGGTACCGGTCCTTTCGTGCACGAAACCGGTTTCACATCTTCTTCAAGGCGAAGAAAAGATTTTCAGAATTTGTATACGAGTCATAGGTCTCTAATGAAGATTCCTGTTTGACTCTCTTGTAGCTCCTTCGCAATGCAGTCAATGCTTGAACAGTTGCTCCTGACGTCGTCTGCTGAGTATTGTGAAGGACTGACATTTGGAAGTGACTCAATTATGCTGCAGATTCCCTTCTCAAAGATCCATTGTGAGTCTAGTAGATCACGTCGAGTACAGCAGACGCAAAACGTTTTCAGAGCTGACTATGAAGCTGTATGTGCAAATTCGCTGTGCTATGAACTGGAACCGAACTCCTGAAGTGCTGTGAGCGATAAGCGACGGGGACTGCAGCTGCGGTTTGACCACCGACTCCCATGTCGACTCGTTGATAAACCTGTTATTCGCTGCACTGTCCACTCGAGAATGTATAGACTTTCCATCCATGATGTTTGTGGCAAAGCGACGGTAGTTACACTTGACCAGCGAATATGGCGTCAGATCTGGTGGTGTGCCTCGTGGCATGACGACTGGAGCGCGTGGCGCAGTTTCTTCGTTATAAAAAGTCACAAAACCCTTTTGTCGTCCATTCTGTGCCAGTTGGAGCATTTGTTTCGTCATACGCGCAGAATCGGACGAGAAGCATGCCCCACAAATCTAGGAAGCAGCTGTGGGCGGCCCTGATGAGCGTCCAAATCGTGTTTTGCTCGCGATGCGGGTTATGGAGCGGCTGATGTAGTCGCCCAGTAAACGAGTTCTTGCTAAACGTGCGCCAGGTGTCCATACTCCACATTTTCGTACCCTGCTTCGAGGTAGTGAGGCGCTTGCATACCTGCATGAGTGATCGGACGGAACACTTTGTGTCTAGAAATACCAGGTGAAGGAAGGCGGCGTTGTTGGATTGTAGATCGCTCACTAGGACTAGGTACTCAAATAGATTTTCGGTGCACTTCGCTAGCCCGAACTTAGCACACTCACGGTTGACATGTTCTGCGAAAGTAACGAAGTCATTGTTGTTATCTTTGGTGAGCTTCATGCAGGCGAGGGGCGTAGGAGCGAATAAACAACAAATTCTGTGATGCAAACAGGTTTATGAGTGTTCAGACGGCTTCGAGTGTGGCATCGCGTTGTGTTTCAGATAAAGATGGTCAGAGTCCTGTCCAGTAGCTGCAGCAGCCGGCTCGTGATGAAGTAATCAAACTCGAATTGGCTCGCGTAGCATGTGAGCGTCCACGGTAAAAGTAAATTGATGCAGTTGATACCATGCATCCGTCAGCATCGGGACACAATTAAACTCTTCACCACGCTACGTCTGTGGGTCACTAGTGGGTGATTGATAGCCAGAGTGATTGGAAGAACTATTAGACGAACCGACTAGGACGAACTGATTGGAGAGAATGGGTAACTGACAAGTTATTGGGTTGATATACCGTGTTTACATATAATATACCCAAAGTCATATCAGCATCCGGTTGAAAACAAGGGTATAAACGATACAGACATAAGGTAAAGCTGACAAAATTGCTTATTTCGTCGAAGATACTTTTATTGCTGAAAATAGGTGAAGTGTTGTTGGCGGACCCCTTAGGGGACTCGTGGAGATTACAGACTCTCAACTCGAAGAAGACATTGGCTAAGCAAGGAACGTGGGCGGTTCAGCAGCGGGTAAACCTAGTATAGGTCTAACGAAAATGGTCTACAACAATTCTAGGCCGTCAAGGTAGCCAAAGAAAAGGTGAGCCAAGCAGGCCTTCTCTACGGAGACGAGCGCTGGCTTGTGTATTAAAGAATACTCCAAATACTCCACAGAGGCACTTGAATACGGAGGAAGTACCAGTGTGGGCTAGGGAATTGATCAGACTGGCAAGATCGGGAATGGTCGTATAAGTGCAGTTTCGGCGTCACAATATTAACAGAGAATTCGCCGTTGACGGTCGCAAGCCGGGATTGAAATGGAGGATGGGTGCGAAGGGCTAGTAACTCTCAGCTGTTATAATTTCTTTATGCTAGAGGTACGATGAATACATTCAAATTTGCTGCATTGAGGGAACCTAACAGTATTCTCGTGACGGTAGCATCTCTATGCGGAGATCGGTTTTCTCACCCGAAAACAAATCTTTCATTGGAACATGGGATGTGCGCACACAGTATAAGTCTGAAAACCTTGCACAGCTACTGCGAGAATTTGACAACTACCATATGGATATACCAGGAATCAGCGAATCTTGATGGACTGGAAAGGCTGTATGAGGAGCGATGAAAATCTCGTACCATCCTCCGGCCTGGAAGAAAGACATGATAGAGTGGGATTCGCTTCGAGTAAGAGAGCGGCAGAGGCAGCTGTTGGATGGAGGTCAGTGAATGAGGGAATAAACACGGCGCGATTCGTAACACGGCATACTCGCATCAAGTTGTTCAGGAATATGCGCTCATGGAGTGTACGAGTGGAGAAATGAAAACTAGTTTCTATGAACAACTTCGGATACTACTGAACACGACAAAAGCCACACGAGACAACACGACATACCTAGAAAAGGCCTGAAATTCATCGTTAGAGATTTTGAGGCGACAATGAGCCAGGACCGAACTGGACTTGAACGAACAATAGAGATACACGTCCCTTCAGCCATACGGATCCTGGTGTTTGCCTGGTGGTTAGACAAGGAGCGAGATTGATTACATTTGCAAGCAGTCAGAAGCGTCAAGCAAGAAGTTGAGAACGTCTCTCCAAGTGTTCGGGTGTTGGCAGTATAACCCCAGAAGAGACAGTCGAAGCAACTCAAGGCATTCGGAACAGGGAGCCTCTGGCGTAGATGAGATCTCACCAGAACTACTAAAAGCAGGCGGCAGTACAACATTGGAGAAGCTCACGGAATTGCATAACCATCGCTGGAATGGAGATGTTCCAGAGGACAGGAGGAAAGGAGTAATTGTGAGGCTGCCTGAAAAAAGAAATTTGTCGATTGCGACAGTTGGAGAAGTTTCACGCTACTTTCGGTTCCAAAAGAAGCATTTTGCGTTATACTGTTGCGAAGACATATTCGCTCTTCGTAACATTGTCGAGCAATGCATTGAGTTTAAGCACAGATTCTCCATCAACTTCACGGTTGCCAGGGAGTCATTCGATCATTCAAGGCATTTGAGAGCGCACACCGAGAAACATGACGGAAAATCTGCAAAATAGATGGCATAACAAGGCCTCTTGTTCGCATATTCTGAAATCTGTATCTCAACTCATCTTGCGTGTGAAGACCGACACAGAATATACCCCGTTCTACAGAATTGTTACGGGAGTGCGGCAAGAGTGCATCCTTCCGGCAGTGCTACTCAGCATCTGCCTAGATTTTGTCATGAGGAAAACAATGCAGCAAACAACGGCAGGGTAGGCTGCTTTACCAATGGAAAGCTCGCTAATCTGGATCCTGCGGATGACAACACTTATTGCTGTAGACAAAGTCGAGTTACAAAAGATCATCGATAATCTCAACAAAGAAGCGAACATGATCGGATTACGAGTTAGCGCCGGCAAGTCGAATACTGTGGCAAGTGGTCAAGCCTATACGGAGGTGAACATCAATAAGGAGGATACAATTTGGCGAAATGTCGACAAATTCACTCACTTCGGGAGTGCTTTCCGTCAGAGGTGCCTGCGGAGGATCATGAAGACACGATACATGGTTCACATCACAATGAGGAAGTCCTCGTTGCTCTGGTATAAATAGCCTCCACGTGATTGTGCACAGCGCGGACTGTGATTGGCCGGTCGTGTTGCGTATGCCGCAGCAGTAGGTCCCAAAAATGGCCAGGTGTTGGAAATCTGTGGGAGCCAAACGAGGAAGAGGCTGTCTCAGAACCATGTGAAGAACAACGTTCGACAACGATCTCAAAGTCATGAATGAGTTTTGAATGCTTGGTACATTCGCAAAAGAAATGAAGAACAATTATGCGCGTAAGTGGAGAAGCTTATGAGACCTTAAGTATATTTGTTTCTCAGTACATTCGTACCAAAAACGGGGAGAACATCGTAGTTAAGCTTCTCTCTTAGCAAACCTTTTTTTGTAGCGTCACGCATGCAACAGTTCTGTCCTGTTCTATTAGCACAGTACACCAGACAATTTTTCAGAGACAAAGAGGTGAAGATGTTAGATAAAGGTCTCAGAAATCGAAAATGAATTCAAAACAGTCTTCATAGTGAAGGCGCTTTGAGAATGAATGAAACGCCAAAAACTTGCACACAAGATAAAATGTATGAGCGTGAACGACTGCTGGTAAGAAAAACAGTAATGTAATGTCCTAAAGCATCGAAATGTTCGGTAGTATAAAAGTTCGATAAAGTGTGAAGATCTTCCCTGGTTTCATTCGGGAGGCAGGATTAGTCATGTTCTGGAAACGAATGGAATCAGGGGTTCTAAAGAGATGACCATTTCACGTGACGCTCTTATTCACTGAGTCCGTATGTATTCCTTTCCATTAAGAAGTGAACAATTTCTTACAAGAAACCTCACTTGTAAATCGATGGGAGAATCAGCATTCGTCCCACATATTTGACATCTAGTCCACTGAAGCAGGAGCGGTGAAGAAGAGTGGCCATTATTGCTTAGCGTACGCATGATAGGCGACGAGCAAGCGCTACCTTCCTAAAGAAATAAATCTTAATGGGTTGAAGTGATCAAGCTAAAAATGCGACACTAGCATTGCTGAAGATCCATCTGTAATTGATGTCATGAGCTTCACTTAGGCTGAACACCTTAGAATTATCGGTAACTGTGCCTTCACATGTGTAGGCGTCACACCTAATTCAGATAGCCTCGCGCAGTGGCTGCTTTCATAGTCAGCAGGCCAGCCCGCAAGCGCGGGCTGGCCTGCTGACTATGAAAGCACGTCGGCCGGGGGACTACTCTGCTTGCGGTACCGACCAAGATTCAGTTGTAAACAAGTGACAAGCGCCGCCCTCGGCGGGCGCGCGCTCGCAGGCCGGCCGGCGGACTATGGAAGCAGCCAGTGATGGGAAGTGACCTCAATCGTACGAAAGATTCGCTCACCCCGTTCCACATACAATGTGCATACGTTAATACACCACTCACTTGTTGACTTACCCACTCTAGAACGTCATAGAGCAAAAATCTGTTGTCCTTGATTGACTGGGAACAGCAAAAATCTTCATTAAAAGCCATAAATAAATCAAAGTTCCAAATTATATACTGCTCCCGCCCGCCAGATCTACTGGTCAAACCGGGCAGATCAGTACTATACCAGTCAACTACTCTACTAACACGAGATCACAGAAGCCCCAATGAATGCAAGCTTCGCATTCCCACTGCCCTTGATTTAATGATCACCTCTCCTACCATAAACAGTTACACTTCTTTTCAACGACTTCATCGAGGCTGATCAGGCAGCTTCGGAGCCTCCAACCTGGGTGCATGACCCGCCTTCTGCGATCATTTGAGACACTTTCTTTCATTAGTTTCCATCCACTTTTTTCGGTCTTTAGCGGGCCTGAGGAACAAGTTACGAACATTTAT